CTGTGCGCAGAGATGATGGAACAAGGCCCTCAGGGTGTAAGGAAGGTCACTTTGGTGCAGAATTTATAGCCAATCAGACTTTTATACGTCCAGAAAATCATTTGTTATTAGAGGATTTGGATTTATCAACCCATATCCATATGAAGGTTACAAGGGCCCCTGACACAGTGGAGAAGGAACACAAGAAAGGGGTAATACAATGTAAGAAAGAAGGCGTCACAAATACCAGTGCGGTTCCTCTTATGTGAGGCACTGGGAGGAGTCAGAGTGGAGTGACAGAGACGGAAGTAGGATGGTGGTTGCCTGGGGCTGGGGGAGGGGGAGAATGGGGAATTAGAATTAAGGGGTACAGAATTTGCATTTTGCAAGGCTAAGAGTTCTGGAGATGCATGGTGGTGACGGCTGCACAACCATGTGAATGTGCTTCATGCCACTGAGCTGTGCACGTCAAAACAGTGAGACTGCCTGTCGATTAATATGTATTAAAATAGAAAAAGGAATGAGGTAGGAGAATGAAGGCAGGAGAAAGAAAGGAGGGAGGAACGAAGGAGGGAGAAGAGGAGGAGGAAGGATAGGAGGAGAAAGAAAGGGAGGGAGGAGGAGGAGGAAGAAAGAAGGGAGGAGAAGAGGCGAGAAGAAAGGGAGGAGAAGGAAGGAGGGAGAAAGAAAGGGAGGAAGGAAGGAAGGAGGGAGAAGAAAGAGAAGGAAGGAAGAGGAGAAAGAAGGAGAAGGAAGGAGGGGAGGGAGAAAGAGAGGAAGGAAGGAGGGAGCCAGGGAGAAAGAAAAGGAGGAAGGATGGATGGAGGGAGGGGAGGGAGGCAATTAGTATCTGGAAGATGGGAGGAATGCCAAAAAGTATCAAGGAAGAATCCACAGGGCTGTAATTCTTGGGACTGTCGTCTTCAAATGAGAAGAGTTTAAAGCCTTAGGACTGTTTTTGCTTCCCTTCGTATAGTGATCTGCTTCATATAAGAACAAAATATTTACGCCCACAGATGTTGTAATTCACTTTGTATTTGAATTTCGTTTTTCTGAACTGGTGTGGGAAGAAAGCACAGACGCGCTGTCCCGCAGAGCAGGTCAGATGCTGTGACTGCCGTAGAGCGGAGGTGGGAAGAGAGCGAGGTCGGAGGAGGTGTTCTGTGTTGCCTGGCGCTGGTGAGCGACCACGCCCGAGGCCTGGTGACGATAAGGAAACAACAGTGTTGTCAACAGACAGTCTAAATCAGGACTGTGATAAGTGAAGGAACAACTATGCAAATATGTTATTGAAAGTTACCGTGGCATCCGTCAGAGAACCAAAAGTCAGAAACTCCAACATTTTACCTCTTAGGGCTAGAACTAGGGATGGGGGGGAGCAGGTAGAGATAGTGAATTGTACTATTTTAAACTTTTTGAGCATTTTTAATTTTTTTTCCCATGTGTAGTTATGTTGCTGTGGTTAAAAAGCGGTACGTTGTATAATTTAAAATAAACATTTTTTTAGTTTCCAAAGGATATTCTAAAATGAAGCATTTTTATGTGCGGAAAGTTCTTGGGGAAAGTGAAACCGGAAGCCGGTGTTCCAGCACAGGTGATCATGGGGCCAGTGAGGATGCGAACAGAGAAATCCCAGGAGGCAGCGCGATGAGGTGGCAGAGAGCAAAGCACGGGGCTGTTGAGACCAGTTTCCTGTCCCTGCCAAGGCTGACGGTGGCCTTCCCCTCCTAGGGCTGTTGAAAGGCCGGATTAAATAATCCACATAAATAACCCAGCACGGTGCCCGGCGCTTGATAGACGTTAGGCAGGACTCAGCTCCCTGAATTGCGACTTCTCTTCCCTAATTGTGCATTTGGACCTGCCTAGAGACCGTCCCCATTAAATGTCATCACTTTCAATTCAATACATACATCAGAAACCATCTTCATTCTTTTTTTTTTTGCCTCGTCACTTCCCCCTTCACACCTTCTTGGTGAGTGAATGCCGTTATGCCAGTTTCTCAGACTTCATCCTGGCATGGCCACAAGGCCATGGCCACGTGGGGTCCACCCTCAGGGCTGGCAGGCTGCCGCCTGGCGCCAGATACCTCACACCTGGCAGTGGCTGCAGGAAAAGCGTCCCCCCGCGCTGATGCGTACGTGTGTGGCGGGGTAGCGCCTGCCCGCGGCGTGGCCACACGGAGAAGCGATCGGAATCTTTCTCCTGCCTGCTTTGTAGAAATACTTTAGTGGGAGCCGAACGCAGGGGGTGATAAATGAAACTGTATCTTAGGGTATTTATCATCCTGAAAGAACTGCCAGAGCCTAATTTTGTTCAAAAGTCTTCCAAGAGGATTAAAAAAAAAAAAAAATTATTTTCTTCCAGTTCCTTTAGGCCTTCTAGAGCACACGAATTACAGGAAAAAGCATAAGTAAGTCCTTGCCCTCCGCCTGCAAAGGTACCCGCATTCAAGCATGTGCAAGAGCTAGCTGTGCCCGTGTGCGGCTTGTGTGGTAGCATGAGGCCGGATGGCAGAGGGGCTCGTGAGTTTTCTGTGGCTTCCAAGATGGTGTCCCTTCTGGCAGCAGGTCCCCTCCTGGGTCAGAGCTCACCTACTTGCTTCTTTGCCTCTGATCAGTCCGTGGGCCGTAAAACTGACAATGGCCTGGGCTCGCCTTGGCACCCAGAGACTCAGAGAGCAGACCCTGGCGCCCTGTCCGGCCTCTGCCCCAACCTGGTCTGTCCCTGGACCTGCAAGGTAAATTCTGCCCATTCAGAGCAAACCCAGGTGTGCGCAGCAGTGGCACACGGTGAGGGGAAGTCGGCTAGGGGCGTGAATCTGCCCGGGAGGAAGAGCTTGTTTTAGGAGCAGCTCGGCATTTTCTATACCGGCGAAGGCATTCGCTCCCGTTTTCTCTCTGGGAACACGAAGATCTGATCTTTGCCTGGTTGTTGAGAACTAAAGCAAGTTGAAATTGACTCTGGGATGCTGGTGTTTCTCAAGGCACATTCCGCCTGTTGTTTAGGGACATGGCTCTGTCGTCCTTCTGTCCTCATTCTTGCAAATGAGGCAACGCCTCCTTCTCTGCAATGTGCCGGGGTCGGGCTCGTTTCCAAGTAGGAGCAGAGACTGGAGAATAGCTTTCTCTGGGGCTGTCGCCGTGCAAGGGGATCCCAACGTGGGACAATAGAATATGCCAATAAAGCACACTTGCAAACATTAATTAGGAAGTGGTTATTTTAATGACGGGGGGGATTCATGTTAGAATATCTTAATGGGTGCGGTGTGCACCATTTAGGGGATGGACTCGCTTGAAGCTCTGACACTGGGAAGGAAGGGGGGGTGGCAAGGCAACACACATAACCTAAACATTGGTACCCCCATAATATGCTGAAATAAAAAAAATAGTCATACACGGATTTTCAACTGCACAGGGGGTTGGTGCCCCTAACCCTGCATTGTCCAAGGGTCCCTGTCTCTCTGAACTGCCTTTTTTTCTCCATGTCCTGTGTAGTTGGAGGGGGCCAAGGACATTGGGGTTGTATTACTAATACCGATTCCAGGAGACAGTGAATCTTCAAAGAAGACAAGACCCTCTCGGTAGATTTTGACCTCTTCTCTGTTCATAAAATAGTTCTCCTTTGGCCCCCCAAAGCCCTTGGCTTTGCTTCTGACAAGTTTTGGTAATTTAGCAAATCTCCTTTCTAGTTGGCGTGAGGGGAATCGTAGATGTCAGGAAGTGTCATGACACTGCGCATCCATGCCGTTGGTCCGTGGCCGCTGGGTCAGTGGCCATCAAATTCTGGAAAGAGCCAGGCAGTAAACATTTTAGGTTTCCAGGCCATTCGGTCTCTGTCATAACTCTTGCGTGGCCCTTACCCCCCGATCAGGTACTCACAGACCAGCCTCACCCTTCCGCATCTGATCCTGAACTCGGCAAGTCTGTGAGCACCCCTGGAAAGGACCTGAGGATTGTCCTGTCTGTCCCCATGCTGCAAGCTCGGCTCCGGCCACACCTTGGAGCAGACTGTACCTGTCTCTGCCGTTGGACCGAGGGTGGTTCCTTTGAGAGCCGGAATGATCTCCAAAGAACAGGCATCCAAAAACGTGTGATGGTGATTCTGCCCTGCTGCCCGCTTTCCTCCTGACAAGACCTCAACGTATTCTAGTGGCACATAGAGACCCCTTGCTCTAAGGGAAGGGCAGGCAGGGCGGGCCCTTCCCAGCCCCAGGGAGAGATTGAGGCTGGCCTGAACTTGTCTTGGAGGCTCAGAGTTCTGGGCCTGGGGCTGGGGTCAGTCCGGGGTTGGGCACTTCCTCCTGTCCTGGCCGAGGAGTCTGCCAGGGGAGAGGGGCCGCTTCCGGAGGAATGAGACAAAGGCTTGATAAAGAAAGGCTTTTTGCCTTTCTGCTCTTTTCTTGCCTGGGACATAGGTGAAATGCCTGGAGGTGGCACCGCCACTCTGCAGCTATGAGGACCTGGTTGGTGAGGATGATAAAGCGAAAACCCGAAGCCTGTGTCTGCGATGACGTCACTGAGCTGCCGCATCAAGCTAAGAAATAAAACCCGGTGTGTTCGGGCCTGGGCTCGTCAAGCTCTGGAAAGAGCCAGGCAGTAAATATTTTAGGTTTTCAAGCCATTCACTCTCTGTCATAACTACTCAGCTCTGCTAATGTAGCATGAAACCAGCAGTAAACAACTTGTCAGCCAATGAACATGGCTATGTGCCAATAAAACTTTATTTACAGACACTAACATTTGAATTTTCTGTAATTTTCATGTGTCACGAAATATTTTTTCTTCGATGATTATGTATTTAAAAAAAAAATGCAAAAGCCATTCCCAGCCTGCAGGCCTCACAGACACAGGCGGCGGCGTGGTCTGGCCCTGTGTGCCGCGCCCGGGCTTAAGCTCCCGTCAGGTGGAATTTTCTGGGACGAGGAGCCTGTTGCAGTCTCACCTGGCGCGGGACAGTGGTGGCAACGGTCCTTATTGAGAGGTCATGCCTAACTCCCCTCGCTTTTCTCACGTCTGTTTCAGAGGGTCTTGCTGTCGGCGTCGGGTTCGGGGCTGTAGAGAAGACGGCATCGGCGACCTTTGAGAGCGCCAGGTAAGCCGGCACCTGGCGGCGTGGCTCTGCGCCCAGGGGTGCCGTGGGTCTGCTTGCTGCGTGGGGGAGCTGTCTGCACCCCAGCTCCGCGGGGCGGGACTGCTGGAGGCAGCGCACGTCGCGCGGGTGGCCACTCCGAAAACAAAGCGCGGCTGTGATCGCGTGCTGTGCCCTAAGGACTTTAAATGTATAAAGACTAGAGACAAAAAGGCATAACAAGGGCAGCGGTTGACACTCTATCCGGACACGTGGCTCTCCTGGTTTCCCCCCTCTTGCCACCTGCTCTGGAAGGCTCTTTGGGCGTGGGCTTCTTGTCCCACAGCCTGTTCTCGAATGTTGCTGTCCCTGGGGGTTCTGGCTCTAGAGCCTCCTTTCCTGCCACTCACTGCGCTCTCCCTAGGCCACTTTTCCCGTTCCTGTGACTTTACCTTCCACCCGTTTGCTGGTGACGCCCACGCCGAGCCCCAGCCTGGACATTCCTCCCGGGCTCATTCCCGCAGGTCCAGCTGCCTCCCGGGAGGCTCCCCTCACCCCGCTTTTCCAGAGTGGAGCCCGTATCTTATCTGCTGTCCTGTACAACCTGCCCCCCTTCGGGGTTCCCTGCCACCACCACACCCAGTCGACCAAGCCAAACCCCTGGTCACCCTCAATGCCTGGTTGTCCCTCACCTTCCATAGATGGTCACCGTGCCTTGCAAATTCGTCTTCCCTTGAATTAAAGAGGGTCTAGGCAAGGTCGCGGCCGGGGCTCGCGGGGTGTCCTTTAGACGTCGTCGTAGAGGCGAGCTCTGCAGGGTCCACCAGGAACGCTGCGCCCTGCAGCGTGGAGTCGTCTGTGCAGGGCGGCAGACTCGAGTGCCCCGGGGGACTAAGGGATGAGCAAAACGGGTGGGGACAATCGGGTGAGGACAGTTGGAAACGGTGAGGACCGAGGTGAACTTCAAATGGCAGGTGCGCTTTCTAAAAGGGCTTGCATTTCCAGTTACTTACAACCATAGTTCAGATCAGATGTCTCCAAGACCACCGGTTTCTCGCCCCTGCATCCGGCTCGTTCCGCTGCCTTCAGTCTGGTGCAGTCCCCAGATACTCTCCCCCAAGGACATGGCCCCGCGTCCTTTGGTGATCGGCCCCGTGTCCGCTAGCTGTGGCTGTCAGAAACTAGTTTTTCTCATAACCCCTCTTCCATCTTTCCCCAGTTACTGAGCTGTCATGGGGCCTCCTTGTGCCCCATGAGGACTGTGTTCAGGTCACCTCCTTCTCTTTCCCCAGCTGGCGTGGAGCTCCTGCGCGTTAAACGTGGCCATTGCTGTCAGGGAATTCCAAGGACACATGTTAAGAGATGTGTCCGTTCCATGAAGCCCAGAACATGTATGTGAGCTAGCACGTTCTGGGTCGAAATTTTTCCCGCTCTCAACTTCTTTCTTCTGCCTCTCGGACTCCCAAGTCATTTCCTTGCTCTGTCTCTCACGTCATTCGTTACAATGATGCCTATGGAAGGGCCTTTAGAATGCAAGAAATGTCACCAAAAACAAGGGCTGATTATGACTCACAACGCCCTGCAGCCCAGGGCCTGGGGTTGGGGCGTGCGGCCGTCTGTCCCCTGGCACAGCCGTCTTAATCTTGACTTCATCGGATCGTGAGAAACTCCAGAGTCACACAGTATCCGTGGGGCTGAGGAGCCCCCAAGGAGCTGACCTTATAAACAGCCAGAGCCAGGTCTTCCCGGGGCACAGGAGGCCTCGAGCGCTGCAGAAGGCCTGTGCCTGGCAAGTGACAGCCGTGCCCCGGGCGTTGTACTCACAGGCCAGGCTCTTCGCCTGGTGGCACTACATCCCCCATGACATCACGGTGTCACCTCCAATGTCCCTCTATTCTGTCACCTGCACTTTCTGCCAATCTTTATAAATACTTCTGAAGAAAGTGGAGCAAAAATATTTCCAACCCAGCTCCTCCTCTCCCTCGCCCGGACAGATTCTCTCTGAATTATATGAGCCCTGGACGGGACGCTCTAATCGGGGCTGGATTGGGGCAGCAGGCCGCAGCGTTTGCAGTCTCTCGAGACCCTCTGCTCCCCAAGCGTCGCTGGGGGCTTCTCGTGCCCCGCGCCCCACCCGGCAGCCTCACAGCCCGAGGGACAGAGTTGCCGGAGCTCTGCTGCGGTCGTCACCGTGTCCACGAGTGCCGTGGGGTGAGGGGTTTGTGCAGTACACGCCACAGAGGGGGAAGGGGGAAGAAGGAGCATTCTCCCCCAGGCAGGGCCCCCCTTCAGCCCATTCTCCCCACTTAGAAATCCACAAAGAGGTCGAGGCTCCGATCTTCCTTTCCAAAGGCCTAGGGTCTTCCTCTTGGGTGATAAAATGCAGAATGTCCCCCTAGGAAGGGCTCATTGGCTTTCTCTGCCTTAGCTCCTGCTACAGAACGGGTTTTGTGGGAGGATAAGGGATTACAGGGTTAGTGGAAAGTGAGAACTTCCCACTCGGGTACCTGGAGGGAAAGGCGCCTAATGAATTGTAGGCAGCACAGGCAGAGCCTGCACCGCTGCAAGCTGTAGGAAGCCCAGCCCGCCACAGGCTGGGGCCAGCCTCGTACCAGTTTACACAGGGAGGTCGAGGGATGTGCCTTCCGGCTGTCCCGTCATGCTGGGGCTTCCGAACCAGTGTCAGTGCTTGTGTGCCTGGTCCGGAGAGGACCGTCCAGCTCTGCAGAAACGGGAGGGGGCCTGCATGGCGTCCGCGTGCCGAGGCTGCACCCTGCCTTGGATTGCCATCCGCAACTCCGGGATGAAACTCTTGCTCGATGAATTGGCGTTCAGTCCACCCACACGCAATCCCAGGTTCCTCTTTCAGGAGGGGAGAGAGAAGGCAGTCACATTGCATGCAGATTAAAGTAGAATTGGAAAGTGAACAGGCAGCGCTGTGGGGGTGAGCCGCTGGTGAAACCATGTCGTCCCCAGGACTGACGGAGGCAGCATGTGGCTGGGACCGTCGTGGCTGGGAGCACCAGGCCGAAGACTCGTGCCCCTGCTCCCTGCCTGCCCGGAGTGTCCCAGACTCAGACCTCTGTGAAGATGTCTCCGCTGCGGCTGCAGGTGCTTAGCTGTCTTCTGAGCCGTGCTGGTCTCCGGCACGCCATCACGAGCTCACTCTAGTGAGCGTTGCTAGGGGCCCCACGCTGCGCTGGTCCCTCCAGGAAACACGATTCCTGTGACATAACTCTTCCGAGAAGCCAAACAGTTGTCACAATACTTCCAGTAGCATGGTGAACTCAGTTGACATGATGTCCCACCACAAACAAAGGAGTAGAAATGGCTCTTGGCACCTTTTGGACCGCATAGAAATCTCTGAGACAAACGCCAGGGACCACACGTTTTTGGGCAAACTGCACGTTATTTAAATCATCATAACTACGGATCATAATGGACTTTAGGTGTTGTTTTTCAGTCATAACATTTTTATTTGCAAAAACAATTAAACAATTAACTAATTAAACAATTAAAGTTCCTAGTATTTTTTTAACGTATGGTACTTCATAAAACATTTTCCTCTATGAAGAGGGACCAAACAAAATTTACATAAGAATCTAGATTCGCTCCTTTTTCCATTGGCGGCACAAACTCTGCAGGCTTTTGTAGGAAATTTTTTCTTTCCACTCGCTGGAATATACGTAGGTTCATGCTGCTTCCTATCACCTGACAACCTTTTGGGTGGATCTTTACGAGGTGCTCTCCTTGCACCCCCAGGGGAAGGGCTGGACAGATTTGTCTGTGGTTGCAGAGAGCCTTCATCATTGTCATCTGTTGTCCAGTCTCTTGCCACCGATAGCAGAAACTGTTTGTACTTCATTTTTGCTTGTGGATTGAGGACGTTGTACACTCTAAATGAATTGGAAAGTCTACAGTTTATAAGGTACAACACTACTTTTTTTGTCTAAATTTAATTGTTTTCCTTAGAATGTCACAACACGAAAGGAATTGATCCACATGGTCAACGCCTTTCATGCGGGCATTGTATTCCTTGATGCAGGCAGGTTTTACAATATTCTCTCCCGGTTTTCCATTTTTGTTTTCCTGTTGTTGAGACAGAAGTGTTATGGATCGTTGATATCATTCCTACAACCCACTTGTCTTTCCATGCTAGGAGAAGAATATCGCCTTTTCTGGAAAATATTATGTCACCTTTCTTCATTCTTGATGTTTTCATTTTCAAATTTGGTGGTAAATCTCTACTCTTCATAATGAACATGACAGTGTGTTGACATCTAAGGTCCATAACAGATGGCGCTGGAAACACAAGAAAACTCATGAGCGGTCCGAAAGGTGTTAGCACACAGCCAAGGACTAAGGAGGAGGAAGAAAGGTTAGGTGCTAGAAATAAAGGGAGGGACCAAAGACAACGAGGTGAGCAGTTTTAGGTCTTGACAGAGGTCAAAGGATGGAGAGAGGGACTTCATGCCCACGGCCCACGGATGTCAGGGAACTAGAACAGCCCCAGCCTCAAGGCCAGGGCTCGTGGCCCTTGCCTGTCTATACAAGAGGCTATAAAACTCCACCCACTTGTCCAAGAACTTGTACATGGAGCTTCTCCTCTCTAAGATCTTGGATGGAGACATGAGGTATAGGGTAAATTACCTGCAGGATACCAAAATCCTACACCTGCATCACACAGGGTGTAGGGTACTAATTTATATACTTGTATGAGAAACCCCAAATAAAGAAATTAACATTGAAACTGATCTAGGGTAATAGAAATCCTTTGCAAACATGAAGACTTTACGTACATAGAGCCCTAATTCTTCCACTAACGAGGCACCAGGTGCCTGGGGACAAGGCGGGGAGACTCATCAGTACAGATAAGCTTGCACCCAAATAGAAAATAAAATACAGACAAACCACAGAGGGAAAAACACCCACCATTTAGGCAAGATAGCATCTACAAAACTAGGAATAATAGAATTCTATGAGAAATATGTTGGACAAGCCTGCATTGAGGAACAGAATACCAG